TCATTTTGAAATTTTCATTCCATCTGTTGAAATAATCGTTTCCTTCTTCCTAGCATTACACAGACATTATGTCTTTATCTGGAAGCCGAAAAAAATCACTTGACTTGCTGGATATTTTACAATCACGAAGCCCCTCTGAGGTCAAGACTGAACAGAGAATTCGACGACAGTGGAGAAAAATTCCAAGATGGGACTAGTCTTAGCCATGAAGCACCCGAACTGCAGTAATGAGCTTAAAGCTGTGAAATTTATTCTGAATTCTTTTCGTAGTTTAAAATATATCAGAAAAGGCAATGCTTTGTGTTTTTTACATCTTCTCATGAACAAAGGGCTGGATTGGAATTAAGTTGAATGTTTGAACTTCTACTGAAAAATATTCGGTGGCAAAATTTGATGGATTTTACTGTATCGTCGGAGAAGTTACTGTTTGAAAAGTGGTGGAAGGAGATAGGAATCCGTCCATCTCCCCTTCCGTGGCTTATAAAAACCACGTTCCATCCTTGCAAATGTATCTGTTTTTATTTCAGCTTCTTTATAAACAATTCAGGCTGAAAACAAGACAGCTTTCAAACTCAGTTCATTACTGAAGTAGCAGGGATTTGCAGGTCTCTCCATAGTCCAACAAAGAAGAAGGAAAGAAAAGAGAAAAAACGAATCAAGAGAAACAATTGTGCTCTGCTCATGTTCTTTGGTAAGGACCGCGTCTCCACATCCCTTGCATCACAGGATTTTAAGTGCATTTTACACACATTCCCCAGTGCTTGGAGTTATTTGTTTGCTGATTAGTAGCACACCAAGCAATCAAGTCATGACAAAGTTCAACAAAAGGAAGAAAGGAAACAAAACAAAAACAAATGTAAAGCACAGGTTTAAAATTAATGCCAGAAAACGGAAGTTAAAGTGTAAAAAGTATATATACTTACAAACCCATTCCACAGGATAGATTGGGCTCAAGGGCGCTGGCTTTTAACCACTGTACCTTTTAAGTGCATTAGCCTGTGTGTGTTACTACAGTAAGTATAGGTCCTCTGATCCCTACTGCAATAACTGAATACATTTAGATATGTCTCCAATTCCCCCGAGTCTCTCTGAATAGCGGATGCCAGGGTTTTGTTTTTCCTACCTCTCACATATAGATTGGCAGGGGCAGAATAACGGGTACCAGCACTGTTGGTTGCCACACATTCATATTTCCCTTGGTCGGACTCTTCGCTGTTCTCTATTTGGAGGCACCTGCATAGGGGAGGCAAAGAGAGAAAAAATTATGCATAGGAGGTATTTAGCGGTTGTTGTGTTACCTCAGCTTTTTAATTTTTACTTTTCAAGTCCTTTCAACATCATGAAAGGACATGTCTGCGAGGCTCCATTCAGCGTCGATTCATTGCTTTGCTAGGGTGAACAGACAGAGTGGATGTGATGGGTAAGTTAGTGTAAAGGCGGATTTCACACCATCAAAATCGGCAAGTGGAGATTTTTTTTTGGTTGGTTTGTTTGTTTGAGATCCTGCTCTATGCATTTCACTGGTCAATGGATGGGCGAGGTTGCTTCAAAGGAGCAATGGCTTTCAGGTAAATAAAAGAGTTAACATTCAAAAAAGATCACCACAAAGATTCGGAACGATGGGAAAAGGCAGACAAGAAACATTTCCTTCAAAGTTCATTCAAAAATGGGCAGCAAAAACACAAAAAGCTGCTCAAAGCAAAAAAAAAAAAGAATTTTGGTTAGTTAAGGCATAATCTCTCAAAATACCTCTTAAAAAGTAATTCTTTTGCTACACATGCAACCTTGTAGGACATAAACGTAATTATTGTGCAACTTACAATCTTTCAGACCCTTTTGCTGAAAAATAAAAATACATAAGAGTAAATTGGATGATTAGAGAAAAATTCACACCTTTCGTCTTTATTGTAAGATCGAGGCTGGAGGCCAATTTCGAAAGAACACAAACCATTGTCGTAGGACCCTGATGGGCCCCAAGACACAGAAAAATCCACCAATGGGATTAGTAGTTTAGTGTCTGCCCACAAGATGCAAGAAAAAAAAATCGAAAAGAGCTGTCTTTGTTTACGCGGCATGTTAAAAAGGGATAAAAAAGCAGTGAGTGGTGCCCGTCCCCATTACACCTCAAAACTGGTCGCTGAGTGCCTCCGGCTGGTGTATCTTGAAGACGTAGATCGCTTGAAAAACTCGCGCAAATCCGTGAAAAAGTTGCAAAGAAGAATAAAAAAANGGTCGTAGCTGGATCAGGGAAGAGATCTGGAAAAGTGTTGATTTGAAGAAAGGGGAAAAAGAAAAAGTGAAGAAAAATGACAAACTCGCACCTCAGGGGGAGGAGGCGAAACGGACGAAAAAATAAATCATTCAAGTATTTTTGGGGGGAATATCTACCACTGCTCCACGGACCATGCTGTCTGATGGTCTAGATCAGTGGTGGCCAACGCATCGCCCGCGGGCCGGATGTGGCCCACAGGGCCATCAGAAAGTGGCCTGCCGAACTTTAGCACTAGTCTAGGTGTGTCTGTGTTATATCAATGTTTTGTTTCCAGTGTTTTCTTGATTGAAAATTTCGTGATTTATAGCATAAATCACAAAATATTCAATCAAGAAAGTTTATTTTGTTGGCTGACCAAAAAAAGGTTGTCCATCACTGGTCTAGATCAAGAAGAGCTACTCTGGTCACTTTCAAGGAAGGGAGACTGGGGGAATGTTTAACCTGAATGTTTTACTAGTACAAAAAAAGGAAGGAGAAATGATACGCTGTGACTTGAGTATGGACAAAGGTCAATGATATGCTTAATCTAAGCATATCAAAAAGAAACAAAAGCCTTTTACATCAAAAAAACAACAAAATAAAACAAATAAACAGACACAAACAGACATTTAATTGAAGAGAAACAAACTGGACAAAGCAAAAAAAACAGGAAGGAATGGACATCTTTACGTGACAAACATGAGAGATATGAAAGGACAGGAGAAATGAGGAGGATCAATTCTGTGAACGTTAGTTCAGCATTCTTACCTCGTATTGGTGTACCACCTGGGTGGATAATATGAATGCAAATAAGATTAGAGAGAAGAAGCATTAGTACGAGAAGAAGGAGGCTAGGGCTTTGGAAGATAAAATCAAATTAGATTTACAGAATAAAGGTCTAGAAAGAAACTGAATTACTGTATTGGTAAACAGGATTATATTAGATAGTATTAGGTTAGTAAAAGCAAGTTGTACCATAACAACAATATCCACTGTAGGTGGCATTGCCTCTGCCAGAGCAGAAATTGACAGTGAAGTCTTAGGAGATTGATCACAAGGGTGAGATACAATAGTGTTTGACAGCCTAAGAACCCTTAGCATATTTAATACTGTTTCAGCAAACATCGGAATCACTGTAGGCCCGGTGGATACAACTACTATAGTTTAGGTTGGATTATGGTAGCTATTCGACTACATCTAAGTGAAGGTTGTGTGTCACGTTTTTTTAGACAGGTGTATCTTATTGCTGATCCGACTCTTTTGTGGAGGTGTGTGCCACTACGAAGAGCTCCAGTGACTACACTAACTGTTAGTAAAATGCATGCCATGCATTTTAATCTGAATATGGAATTAGTGGGGGTGAAGTGCGCTTCAGAACTAAGCACTTACCAAAGGATTCTGGAGATTTAACACGGAAAGAAGAAAGACAGCATAAAAATATTATTATATTCCTTATAATTTGGCACATAGTTTTCAGAATTATAGCTTTAAAACTATATCATCTACTTGACAGGTGAAAATTAATCTTAATTCACATTAACAGAAGGTTAATTTACACAGTACTGCTGACAACAAGCAAAGAGGCAGTTAACAAGACGAGTTAAACATCACAGGACAGGTCAAAGCTGAGAATCCTGGTAACACAGGTGATCAAACATCTCAGTATAGAACGATATACGGTAGTTACTAATGTGAACGCAAACAGCTTTTCTTTTTTTAAAAGCGACTATCAGTTGGGCACTAGCCAATGTTTAGCATGTTACTTAATAGATTTAGGAATCAGGTAAGACTTCGACTCTAGTAGCTGACAGCAAAAGAAGAAACTAGGGGGAAGGCAGGGAAAGAATATTGAAGGTATTCAAGAGGGAGGAGAGGAGTGCATTGGTCAAAGAGCAGCAAACGCTGGTGTCTACATGGGAAGCAGGCTTCTGTAGATCCTGATATATAGTCTGGAAGGTGTCAACGCGCGCACACACACACACTACTGTGGCTAAATGGAAAAAACACTCCAGAAGCAAAAAAACCCATCAACTTTAGTCAGACTCCAAAGTATCCCATTGTACACTAAGGTATGGAAAAAAGCACTGTAAAGCTTTGTCAATGAAAGGGAACAATCTTTGCCAGGTTCAAAACGTAGAGAAGACAGAACAAAATACAGTTTCTTTTCTCGCTCTTTTTTTTATTTGATTTTTAAAATAATAAATAATGTTTTGAAGGTTTGGTTTTAAAAGTTTTTTTTAAAACCATTTGGTTCTCCTTGCACTTCTGAATGAAGCCCAATGTTCGACCAAAAATAAGAGGGAAAAAAAACAAAGAAAAAAAGAGAAAAAAATGGAATCTGTCAAATACTGCCGAAAGCAGTTAAAAAAAATCATCAAAAATACAGTCACAGCAGTGAGCAATATGGAATTAACAGAAGCTGCACACACAGACACTGAAACAGGCTATGACAACATCACAGACATGGACACCACACCAAAATACACATAAAAGAGGATAGGAATATAAAATATTACCTACAAAACAATTCTACCATCTGATAACAGTAACAAGACCCTACCTGACCGTAGCTGTTTGATGCGCCCATTATTGTTGCTTGTGTCTACAGGTAAAAAGTCTTTGAACCAGGTGATTTCTGGATCTGGGTTGCCACTGGCTGCACACAACATGGTGGCTGTGCGCGTTCTCTCCACCACCTTCAGCTGAGGACCCATGTCTATTGTGGGGAAACCCATGGGAAGTTGGTCCTCTGGATGGACGAAGAGAAAATGGGGTGGGGGGGGTGGAGAAACAAAGACACATTGCATTAAAAATTTCTATTTTTAGGTCTATTGCAGCAACATAATCCGGATTGAAATATCAATCAAATACTATGGTTAAAATAGATATATAGAGATGCCAAATGTTCTATCCCTGATTCACACACCCTCTCTCGCTCTCTCTCTCTCTCTGTTTTCTGTTCCCCACTTTCTCTGTTTTGTCTCCTCGCTATCTTTTTATTCTCCTTCTCTCTCCTTCTGTTCTCCTCTTTCTCTCTCTCTCTCTCTTTCTCTCTGCCTGGCATGTCCCCGTTCTCGCCATTGTTTCTGTTCCCCCTGTCTCTTTCACTGTCTGTTCTGTCCCCTCTCTCTCCCTCAATTCTGTTCCCCTCCTCTCTCTTTTCTGTTCCTTCACATTCTCTCTGCCCTCCACCCCCGTCTTTTTCTGTAATTCTATTCCCCCTCTATCTTGGTTACTCTTCTTTCTCTTTCTGTTCTCCCTCTCTCTGTTCTGTCCCCGCTCTCTGTTGTTTTCTGCTCCTATCTTTTTCCCCTTATTTAAATATTAATGCTGATTCCTCTTTATTGTGAGTTCTGCACTGAAGTTTAGCAGCAAGTTATGCAATTATTTTTAAATAACAAAAAGCAGCTTTACTACAGCATGAAGCTCGTACCAGAACGTTTACTAGGATATGAGAACTGGAACAGAGTGGAGATCCTCACACTTTACCCAAAGATAATGGGACATGTGCGGATAATCGAGGCTACACTGTATTAATCGCTCTCTAATGTGTATTCCAGCAGCCAAACCAAGAGCTAAAAGGACCACAATTAATGGCTTCCCATTACAGCGTTATTCAATGTAGCAAGTTAGGCCGACCTCACTTCCTGCTTTACAAATGCGCAGTGATGGAGGAAATTATGTCAATGGCAAACTAATGAACTGCAAGTCGGCCATTTTAGTGCGAAAGGCCGGCACAAGGGAAGAGTTTGTGCTGGTTACGGGCATAAGTGATAAACGTGATCCACACCGCAAAGGCATTATAGCCAAATGTCTCTGGAGTGAAACACATTATAAACAGGGCTGCACCGTACCACCTTCTGGAGTTTGGTGGTCATTGTCTCGAGGCTTTCACCAGCAAACACAAACTTAAAACCACTTAGCTTTCTCATGTGGGAATAACTGTCAAAGATTTGTCGTGTGCCACAAGGAACACGGTCACATGATCTTCACTTTCTCTCCTCGGCAAGTTACCAGAGGATAGAACACTCAAGAGGTCCCCCTTAGCTTCACACACAGATCAGTGTAACATGCCTTGCATGCTAAAGAATGTGACTATTTACAAAGGCTTTTTAAAAGAAGTATAATTAGATTCATGCTCTCCTCCTCCTCGGTACATCTTCTCTTTGTTAATTTTTCATGAGAACCATCACCACTCAACAGATTCAAACCGTTCCAACTATGGCTCGCTTCCAATGGCTCTGAAATTCCTTCACAGAGCTGTCATGCCAGTGGTTTTACAGATCACAGTTAAGGAATTGTCAGATGCCATCTTTTCCCAAGTGTTTCTTCAAATTTCTGTTCATGTTTAATCTATTTTAAAAGTATTTTTCTCTTTGCCTCATCCTCCTCCATCACAAACCCTCCACTATTTTCTGCCCATTTCTCCTAAAGATACTGCCTTTGCCCCCACAACCAGGTGAGCTTTCTTCATGTGTTAGATATCCACACTTTATCAGTAGGTCACTGCAGAGTGTTTAAGATCAAACATCTTGCCTGAATATTGCCACCGTCTTAACTCAGGTGAATGAGATATGCACACACAAGCACACACACACACACACAAACAAAGCTGTGCACTGAGCATCAGCTAATTCAGCACTGAACAGTGATGAACCCCGAGACCTCCCTGCTCTGTATAGCTCAGCCTCACAATGCACAGTGTCTTTACAAACTGAATCACCTGGGGAATTAAAAAAATAGATAAGGTATGTGGTAAGAACCTTTTTTTTTAAATGCTGCTTTGTCTTAGCAGCCTAAAAATACAAAGAGAGCTTGCCAAATCACAAGGTCTAAAATGGGTAAAAATTGTATCCGATGATATGTCAATGATCACCGATAATAATGATCACATTGTTAGCCAACATGGATAGTGAACAAATAGACGGTGGCCGTGCTTTCAACCGCTACACTCCAAGACTCTGAAACTCTCTGCCTCAATCCCTCTACCTTGTCTCCTGATTGCTTGTCCTCAGGTCACACTTGAAGACCTCCCTCTTTGACCGTGCCTATGGTTACCTCCCTTCTCCCCGGCTCAACGTCAGGCTCCGCCACTGTTAAGCACTTGAGACGCTACCCTGTATGAAGGGCGCTATATTTGTGGAGTCCTGTAGCTCAGTGGTTAGAGCACTCGCTTTGCAAGCGAGAGACCTGAGTTCAATTCCAGTCAGGGCGAAACCTTGGGCAAGTTTCCTTACTCCACACGCCTAATAATAATCCCTCCAAAACCCAAAACAATAATAAAATTGGTCATTTTCAATCTACGACTGTTTGTGGGACATTGCTGTGCGCAATTGGCTGCCGCGTTCGCCCACAAATTTACAGTCAATTCACTTTACAGTGTGTTCTGTGAAGCGCTTTGGGACGTCCTTCCGACGTGAAAAGCGCTATATCAAATGCAAGGATTATTATTATTATTATTATATTATTGCAATTGTTGTTGGTGTAGCTTTAAGTTGGAGCGTCAGCCTAGCTTATGTTTCGCCCACAATATGTACAGTCAATTCACTTTACAGTATATTCTGTGAAGCATTTTGAGACCTTATATCACCACTTTGATATAAAGTGTTACGTCAAATGCAAGGATTATTATTATTATGCTAGTTTAAGTCTCGATGTAGGATTTATGAATTAAAACTTGGTTGGGGAGAGAAACATGCCCGAGTTATCAAAAGTTTTCTATTATTGACTGGTCATTTATCAACAATGTGATAATTAATGTCATTGATAATTTACACATCATATTACCACTGACACCCATCAAGATATTCCTAGTGGGGCAGAATGGTTGAATTGGTGGACTTTGTGCCATGCAGTGGGGTGACAGTGTAGAAAATGCCTGTCACATTTCTGTTTGTGGATGGACAGATGCATTCAAATCTAAGTGCTGCATTACCAAGCTCTTCCCAGCAATCTGCCCCTCAGATCTGACTGGTACAATTACTCTTGTATGGAAAACAACCTTAGAATTAAACGTTGTTCAGAAAATGAAATGCAGATTTATAAGGTAAAAAAAATTAGGAAGAAGCATTTCACTCAGACTGTTATTATCTCTTATTATGCAATTGCGAAGCTGTCCGAGCAATCTTATTAGGTTTTGATACTCTTTCATGCTGAATTAGTCATTCATTTATTAACAATTTGAATATGCCATCCAGCTCACTCATTCAACAAAGCCTTTAATGACATGGCACCTGAGTTAAAGGGATTAACATTTTGTTTGGAAACAGCTGCCTCCTCAAATCAGTGACTTCAGTGTTCAACCTCATTCTTTCTCTCCTGCAGTCAATTCCTATGGCGCTTGATGTTGCATGTTACAGTATATTAACATTTGGTGTCAGCCTGCTTTCGATTGGTAGTATCTTTGCCCCTCTGATATAGAAGGTTGTGGTCCAGGCCCCACGTCAGGTCTTTGAACTCAGAATCTATGTTGATCCTTTATGCAGTGCTGGGGGTGTGCTGCATTGGCAGAGTTGCCATCTTTCCGATGAGATTTTAAACCAAGGTTCCATCTGTCTGTTCAGGTGGACGTTAAAGATCCTGTGGTAGTATTTGAAAACAAAAGGGAGTTTCTCTCGGGGTCCTGGTCAGCAATTCCCCAGAGAAAATTGGACACATTTCATGGCTATGTGAAACATTGGGAAGACACAGCAAAGCGCTTCACAGGATTTACTGTAAAATACAGTGAACAACGCAGCCAATTTGGTACAGCAATGCCTCGAATTCAAATCTTGAAAGGCATTTAATAATAATATTGTGGCTAGCAGTGGAAGGGTTAACGCTCACAAGCAGTATGCCGCTGTGCAGATTCCCAGTTCCTGCGGAGCCGAACACAAATATAGCTCTGCGAATGCCTCCCAGAGCGATCGAGCCTCCTTTAAAAATCATTTTCAAAATGTCTTCATTGCAAATTTGCATTAATGAACCGATAATGAAAAAGTCAAGAGACTCTCAATTATTTCAATAATAAAGTGCTGACATCTTAATAGATGTCTATTTTTCTAAAAAAAAACTTCTAACTGATTTGACAGGATCGGCCGACGTGCTGAAATTACATTACACTCGGAAACTGACGTGCTGGACGTGCAACCAGCTCACAGCCTGCAGCAGCTGCAGGGGACCTGGTGACAAGGGTTTGCTTCATTGGAAACGTGTGCTTAAGTTCTTCAGTCATGGTTCCTCAATGGCTCAGTGGGCAAATGCACTATCGTGTGCGTTGCTGAACCCCCTACCCCATCACCAATATAAATGAAAGGGAAACAAGAAGAATGAAGATAAATAATAATAATCATCCTTGCTTTTGATATAGTGCCTTATCAGCTCGTTGAGACGTCTCAAAGCGCTTCACAGCATATATTGTAATGTGGATTGACTCTGTATTTTGTGGGCAAAGTAACTTGGTTTGGTACAGAATTTGGTGTGAACTGTCAATTATTACTATTCACTTTGATCTCTTGTCTCACAAGATTTCCTGCTTAACCTTTTGTTCTTCGCCTACTTCCGACAATGGCATTTCTATAAGAGTCTCTGCCTTCTATTCTTTCTCTCATCCCCTTTGCTTCACTTGTTTTCCTTCGTGCAGCGCTGGTATCTGGCTTTAAAGAGGGCTGACGTGACCAGTTTGGGAGCAAATGACAGGGATGAGATGAAATGAGCTGGCCTTGGCACGCAGTAGGACACATGTGGCCGGCTTTGGTGGGAAACGATTAC